TTAATCCACGATGATCCACGTCAGTCAACCAGAGAATCGGCAAACGTGATGAATTGTGACCAGTCAACCACCCGCGACATTTGCTTTCTACAGGCAAGCCAAAAATGCTATGCACTTATGCATCAGCCCAATAGTGTTAGGCTTTAATCCCCATTGCCTTCTTCCTCTACCGTTTTTCTCTCAATATTGACCCTGTTTCTGGTGTTTCTCACAGTGCCTCTATTTTCAGGCTTCCATGCCTTGTAGACCTCTAACCCCCAAAAATCACTGCTGAGAAGAAGTAGTGGTTCTGAGGCAGGGTAGCTAGTACAGGTTAGACATGGATAGATATATTTCTTGAGTTTTGAAAACGTCCAGACATCCTGTCGCAGTCTGAACGGCCCTGCGGGCTGGAATGTGGATTCAGTATGGATGCCCAGTCTACCTCACCTCCTCAGCTCACCAAAGGAAAATTCCATTAAGGTGGTTCTCAGACCAGGAATCCAAAGACCACAAACATAATAATAAGCCCACCCCTCCACCCATCAGAGGTGGAGAGATATCAATCTCTCCAGGTTACCTGGGCTCCAACTTCCTTAGCATATCAATCACTGTGAAGGTATATCAGGCCTACTGTCAAAAGCAAAAAGCGCAGTTTCTCTTGCCTATGCCAGCTATCTTTCCCCTCTTTTCTTTAATAAACTTCGGTGGGTTTGTTTTTGTTTTTGTTTTTTAGAGGTGAGACATGGGCTTTACTCGGGAACTCATGGACCAATAAACTTTATTTTAAAACTTTGCTGGCCACTCTAAAATTCATTTTAGGGTTGAACCAAAGAATCTACCAGTTTTATGCCACACCCCACCAGGCATCAGTTGTTATGTTAGACCTGTTAGATCATTGGTTTCTAACAACCATGAGGCTAAAGACCTCTTTAATGAGTCTTCACATACAACTGGCTGAATAGAAGAGTTTCAAGGGCTTGTTGATTCTTGGATACCATTAAGGGACTCTGACTTTGGGCAGTGATTCAAATCCTGGTGGTCTCGGAGTAGGGACCTTCTGCTGGGAGCTGTCATGCTCTGCAGACTCAGCACTTCAGCTATGCCAGGAATTCCTCTTCTTGTAGTCTTTATACAATTCTAATTGGATAATCTGGAGCAAGATTAAGGGGCCTCTTTTGGCAATTCTAAGATACCCTGAGAAAAGGGATAGAGGAGAGTTCTTTAGGGAAACAGACAATTTCTGTGTCACTGTTTAACCTGGAGAGAGAGATGGGCAAACCTTCAGCTCTATGAGGGAAATGTAAGCAGTAGATGCTAGAGTCTTAGGTAGTGTTCACTTAATTCAGGACATACAAGAATGTCACGCTCTCTATCTTGTATACTCGGGGATGGAGATGAAGCATGATGATTATGAAACTGGTCTCTGCCATCAAGGAGCTTGCTAGCCTGCATAAAGTACAGAATAGACAAACCAACAGCCCCCACCGCCCCCACCTGCCAGATGCCTAAAGTACATGGTACTAATTATTGCTGTTTTGATAAATGAAGGGAATGGGGTGGGGATAACTTTGCTGAATGAGTTGACTTGCCCTATAGAGTTATTTTATGCTGACCAATTGAATTTTAAAGGCAATGGATTTTTGTTTTGTCTTATTTGATGTTGTACAAATGTTGTGTGTTGAGCCATTATTCCTGGCTGCTGTTAGGTTCAATTGTTTCTTCAGGCTACACCACAAGGCTGACAATAAACCATTATGGGAATAGGGCAGCCATCCATAGTCTAGGGTTTATTGGAGGCTCTGGGAGGGAAAAGTAGTATGAAACAGGGAGAGGGGATGGCAGGGACAGTTAAGTTTTGGTATTCTAACATTTATCTTCCCCTTCTGAATTGTAGATATTTGGGGACACATACACATATATTTGTGTAGTTATATATTTACATATATATTCAAATCCTTGGTTTTTTTTTTACTATATTTTCTTCCAGTCTTGGTCAATATTTGTGTCCACTTATGAGTTGTTGTGTTCTGTTTTTGTTTTAATTTTTTTCTTGTTTTATTCTACTGCATGTTCTTAGAATTGTGTTGTTTTTAAACTTAGCAATGGCCAGACACAGTGGCTTAAGCCTGTAATTCCAGCACTTTGGGAGGCCAAGATGAGGGGATTGCCCGAGCCCACAGTTTCGAGAACAACCTGGGCAAGTTGGCGAGGCCTCATTTTTACAATAAATCAAAAAATTGATGGATTGCTTGAGTCCAGCAGATTGATGCTGGGCTGGCCGTGAGTGTGCCACTGCACTCCAGCCTGGGTGACAGAGTGAGACTACAATTCAAAAAATTAAAAAAAAAAAAAAAAACTTAGCGATACATAATGCTGTTTTTTTTTTTGAGTTGGAGCCTCACTCTGTCACCCAGACTGGAGTGCAGTGGCTGCTCCCCGCCACCACAGCCTCTCCTGCTGAGCTCTGGAGATCCTTCTGCCTCAGCCTTCTAAGTAGCTGGAATTACAGGCGTGCGCTACCACGCCCGGCTCATTTTGATTTATTGTAGAGATGAAGTCTCACCAAGTTGCCC